GCATAACCGCAGTAATGGAGACGTCTAGTAATGCTTGAAGATGTTGCACCGCCTCTTCGTCTGTTAGGCCTAATTGCAAATTCTCCTCCACTTTTTTCACAGCCTTATCCGGTTCGAGTGCTATATCCGGCACGGAGGCATCTACCATAAGCGAGAAAAGATTAAGCATGACATTGGCGTGGCGACGCAGATGCAAATATGCTGTATAACACTGCTTCCGAAACTCATGGTGATGGTCGGAACTGACGCCTCCCATAGCTTCTACCATCTCTTTGCTCAGCTTCATAGGTGGCGGCATAGGTTTCGGATCACGTCCTAGTATATAACCAAAATCGATATGGAACAATTTACCATTGGTTGTGAGAAGCAAGTTATCCAAGTGACGATCGCCTACACCTGTAAGCAACGATAATAGGGAAATTTTATTTTAAAATAATCATTATGTCGAAACTCAAAGGGTGTATGAAATAACCTAGTAAATATGTTATCACACAGTAACCAGCACAGCTCTTGATATATGTATCCATAGTCTCCGCCGCAATGCCGTACGGCCCATTTTCGCACGGACTATGCTTACGGAAAAAGTTGTGTATGCTGCCCTCTCGCGCCAGAACATCGGCTACAGTATAGGAATCGATGTACTGCAGGAGACCATGCTTCGAACTGGTGGCCAGCACCTTGTAAGGCGTTAGTTTTAGATCCAAGTTCTCCCGTCTCAACAGTTTGTCCATTAGGGTAATCATTTGCAATATTAATTGATCTTGGCGAAGATCATCGCCATGCTTAAAAATGGCTACATATTCGTGTTTGCCAATGGTAGAGACGAAAGTCAATCTGGTAAAATTAATAGGGCGAGAAGTTCGTTAGGTCAATAAAAAAATTGCACGATATCACATACTTGGCAGGCATCAATGCACTTTTGAAGAGAGACGTTTTTAATGGAACAATCCTTATGATGTAAATTTCCGGATCCAATGGAAATGGTCGTGGGTCGAAGCCAGTGAAGTTTATTTTAAAAGCGTCTGTGTCGGACAGCAGTTTCTGAAACTTCTCAGTTTTCTTATTGCGATTGCCCGGTTCCTTAGCCACGATTTTAACCAATTTGACGAGCTCATCTATTAAAACTTGTTGCTTCTTCAAATTATGCCAAATACTTCGCAACTGGAAGTTGCCTGAAAGAAAAGTAATTAAACTAAGGTGGATGTTAAAATCCACATTTGGTTGTTATATCGGCACTACTACACTCAACCTAATTTGGCTAGTCTATTAATCATTGCTGTCGAGCTGAATTAACGGTGAGCTTAGAAACGTGCTGTTTTGACGGGGTTAGACCAAAGAGAAGGTGGTGTTAGCTGAGTGGGTTTAATGGTGCAAATGAAGAGGTGGGTGGTGTATATTGGGTACGTCGGGGTCAAGTATGGATGAGTAGGATTTTGGCGTGTCGAAACTGCGCTAGAGTAAGGTCGAGGCCACGCAATGAGCGGCAAGCGACAAGCGGCTGAGCGGCGCCATACAAAAATGCCGCTCAGCCGCTCAGAAATGTTACTCAGAGCATGGCCATTTCAATAGTATTTCATATGTTTTAATTAAGCCGCTCGCCGCTTTGTTGTTGTTGTAGCGGCTACTAAGCCCCGTTCGGGACGGTTCATCCATCATCGTTGCCGTCTATTTCAGCTAAGGAGAGGCCCAGGAAGTGTGCGACTTCCACATGGGCTGTCCATAGGGACAGGGGCGTTAGCTGAGTGGGATTCTCAGGGCATGTGAAGAGGTGCCGGGAGTCATGTGGCGACTCTCCACATGCCGGGCATTGGTTGGGCANGGCGACTCTCCACATGCCGGGCATTGGTTGGGCACATCCTTGTTGATTCTACTCAGGTAGCTGTTGAGCCTGCTGCAATAGCCAGAGCGAAGTTGGGCTATTGTGGTGGCTATCCGGTGGTTGTGCGCCTAGAACGGCATTCACAGGTCTGGAGTTTACAT